TGATTGTGCTGGGGGCTTCTGCTTCTGGTTCCAATATTTTTGAGGTGTCAATTGGAGCTTCCATAGACATCAACTCGACACAATGGTCTTTCACAACCTAGTAGAGCATAAAAGTACCAAAATCATAACAATCAATGAACAGGAATACTCGTAAGAATATTTGCATTCAATGAATAAGACATCTTCCATTTCTCAAATTAGTTCACACCTCAAATGTTTCAGACGGTTGTAGATAATCACATAAGAAAGTCCCCATCAACCAAGGAACAAAAACTCGTCGCGGAAATGGAAGATTGCATATTTTCCTGTTTCAATAGAAGAGTGAACCCTATCAGTACGGTACCTCATGCATGGAAACTGAGGCAAGAGAGAAATCATGAATTTTCCATGATCTAGAATAAATGTCAATAGCAATCCATAAGATGAAAAGATACTATTGACAAGACATCTGGGCATACACATGGCCTAAACCTTTTTAAGTTTTTCTTTATGCTTCCAATAATGCAAACTAAAATAAACTACAGTCATCCTTCTTACAGAACACAAAAATCGACACAGTGAAACTTACAGAGGGGATCTGCAGGTAAATAGAAGATTCAACAACATATATGATGCAAGTTATAGAGATTGAGTGACACAAATAGCCATTAAACCTAATTATCATGGTTGGGGGCTTTTCTAAGGGAACAAAGGGTATATCAACCCATTACTGGTTAGAGGTAGCACACCTCAATGAGTGCAAAACAAGTTGGGGAACAGGTTTTTTCCGTAATGTCTCATCACTTGCTTCCCTGTTTCCATCGTCACTTGGGCTTAAATGTCCATCTGCCTCGTCACATAAGATGTCCAGCCTACTTCGCAAACTCCTGATGATATCACCCTGCAAACAAACATCTGTGATTGTATGGAAAAAAGAAACAAAGACAAGTAGCCCAAGGGAAGAAGACCATTTGTGTTTCTCTAGGTTCATCTACTACGGCTTGCATCCACTATAATCTATTTGCAACCTCCTTTCAAGTATACTGTTTCTGAAGAAGACTATTTGTGTTTCTCTAGGTTCATCTACTAGGGCTTGCATCCACTATAATCTATTTGCAACCTCCTTTCAAGTATACTGTTTCTCTTCATTCTAATATTAGTTTAATCAAATTAAAAATGTCAAAAACATCCCAAAGAAATAACAAGTGGTGTGCAACATGTGGAATTTTCTGCCACATAAACAGACAGGTGGCATAACTTGAAATAAAATGAGCAACCTAAGAGAAGGCACGAGTAAGACACTTCTATGCAAATACCATACAAGGGACTAGGGAACAGCTATCCATGATACTGAATAAAAATATCAAATTGGACTGACATACTAACTTTGGGTAAACGTGGACATAACATTTGATAAATTAGTTCCAATGGTTTCTCTTTGACATGTATCATTTGGATAAAATTTCAGAACGCATTTGAACAAATTCGTTGTTTATGTTGATCTTACATAGAAACCCAACTAGCATCAACTTCTCAGTTTAGGTATTAAAAGTACATGTGAAATGCTAAAGCAAGGAAAATTTCTAATTCATATTAAGAGAGACAGAATGGAAGTTATTAGATACCTTTATATCAGCAATAGCCTGTGAGATAGGCTCCTTGGAGTTCAAATGTGCAAATGAACATACAGAACCAGTAAAGACTAGAACACCTATGATATCTTTCTGGCTGCATGCTTTACAAAATAAACAAATTACTGAAAATAAGCAATCAATTGAAGACAAAAAACATTGAAAAGGAGATACGAGGTCAAATATTGAAATAAGGGTCAAAACACCTCCAATATATGTATCCTGTGTGAATGGTAGAAGCAACTCAACCTCATGGAGACCATCTGTTGTGCATGTCTCATCACTAACAACCTAAGAATTATACATAAAATTAGATAAAAAGAATGCTTGTAGAAAACTTCAATAAGCCTTAAGAAGTACTACAACTGACAAGAGAGGGGGATGGGGCATAATTTAAACAAATACACGTGTTATTTTATAAACCTCACATATCATTCACTTTTGTCTTGGTGAAGCATGGAGTAGATCAGCACATTCTTATGACAGTGAACTGGGGAAAAATGAAAGGTACATGTAAATAAGGTGCTTCTCACCAGTTTTCCATCAATCATAGCCTTTGCACTTCTTAGTTCAATTGCATAAATTGAAATTCCATGACGAAGATTATCACTAAGTGTTTGTGACGTTGATGCACTCTCATGGTATATAGGCAACCTGGTAAAAATAACTTCACTCATGAGTCATGAGAAACAACCCATGTTGTTGCTAAATTGGGCCATTTCAAGATAATCAAAAGTGTTGATAAGAAGCTTCCATCAATCCTGACCTAGAGAGTACAGCAAACAAAAGGAATGATGCCTTCCATATAAAAACTAATAATAGAGATAGAGACAGAAGGTGAAAATAAATTATCACAAGAAATAAGACAGTGAACAAGCAAAACAAACAAATATTAGAGTTTCCACAATGTCAACCAAAGCTTTCATTAAGTAATGGTAGAAAAACACATGATGCAAAGTTACCTAAGATCAAAATTATATAAGCACTTGAAAGTCTGAAGGGAAGTTAAGACCCTTCCCATTTTAAAATCACAAGGCCGCAAGCTGCTTGATGTCATATTTGAGGACAGCGTGCAATTTCGACATGTCCATCTACACAAAAAAAAAATCATTGGCCAACATGTAAACAAACAATTTACAAAGATGGTGCTTTCAGAATTTAAAAGGAATATGGATTTGAATTCCAAGAATACCTCCTCGGACTGTAACATATGTGAATAAGCAGTTTTTCATCCGGGTCAGCCTCCAGCATTGACGCTGCTTCTGCTACTGCCTTTATTGTCTGCAGAAGTAATTCCTCCAAATCATAAAGTCACTCCAGACAACATAATTGAAGTGGGAACATCACTTCGGGTCAAATTACAAAATTCTCCAAAAATCAGGGTTTACATTACATCGAAGGGTCTGATGCTGTGAGTCACAGGCTGGTTTATGCGTTTATGCCCCAATTACCAATGTCAAAACACCATGAAGACTGGAAAAACAAAACAGGCCAAACTCTAAAAAATCAAGCGAAGGAAGAAGAAGTACCTGGCAAAGCACCATGGTCGAATTTTTGAAGGAGATCTCACTAGCCCACACATAAATGCCAACCACATTCATACCACCCACCAGCATCCTTGAAACCTGAAATAAACATTCATCAATTTGGCACACAGAAGAAATGAATCACACTCAAATTTACTAATCCAGAAAACCAACACACCACGACTCGTATACCTGGCGGGCATGTTCGGCGACCCAATCCTTGTCAATGAGCAAGGAGGAAGAATCAGCAGGCTGAGATTTCGACTTGGATCCTTTTTTCTTGTCATCTTTTGCGGTCTCCATGAGCGAACAAGCTGGCTGTCCGGCATCGTTCCGAGGGGTCGACACTAAATCAAACACGAAACCTCGATCTAAAGTCAAGCTAAGCTTTCCTATCAGCAAACCCACCTGAACATCGACAGAAAACGAAACGGAAAATTCATTAAATTCAGTATTTCTCTAGCATTCCGCTTCATGTAGTAATCTATAGTGTAGGTACCTCCGCCGGGAGTGAACTCCGAGACAGGCGATCCTCCGCCAGCTGAAGCCGGGTTTCTTCTCCGACGACCGCTTTCACCATGATTTTGGACTTCGTCCGGCTCAACGGAGATCAAACGGCTTTCGAGTTCCGGCTGCTAAGGTGCTGTCTCAGGAAGACGTTACTAAGATATCCGGGCTCGATATTGGCCCAAAGTCCTTCATGGGCCAGGAAAAGTTGCCAATATGAATCCAGTTAACAAATGC